AAACCAGGCTCATGGGTTAAACCGGGCTCATGGGTTAAACCAGGCTCATGGGTTAAACCGGGCTCATGGGTTAAAGAATATGATGAAAGTAGAGGTTTGTTTCAATATTAAATGTATGGATCTGTTTATCTCCAGCAGGGGGCGCTGTGGCCTGCAGACACATGTTTACAGCCAGGTGTTTTAGCTTTATATGGATCCCCGAGTATGTATCTCCAGAGAACCATGTGCAGTTTAACAAATCTGATTCTATTTCTGAGACCAAAGTTTTGTTTGGATGAATTTGACTTGTATCTTCAGGATTTGTCCTTTTGTGAATGAACGCTTTAGCTACAACTGTGCAAAAACTGTGGAAAATCTATGCTAATTTCAGACATAATAAACTATTTGAAAACAATGATCGGATTCAAAACTCACCCTGGATTTAGGACGAGGAGAAGAGGCGACCTGAAAAACAAGTGGAAAGTTAGAAGATGTTGAGTGTGAAAGAGAAAAACACTGCAGAGAGAGCAGCTGCTGCAGGAACCAGAAGGTCAGACATTTTTATACAAAATCTCTGCTACTCGACAAACAGTGAAAAACAGGAACTGAATTTAAAACATGAAGCAAAATAAGTTTGACTTTAAAACAATGTAAAAGTTTTACGGAAAAGTTTTAGTTTAAGATTCCATAAAAACCTAACAGTGAATAAGAAAATCTGCCCTAATAATGAACTGAAACTGAGATAAGATTTGTCCTTTTTGTGTCTGCGTTTGGGACCGACCGTGGGAAACGTCCAAACAGAAGCATTTTGAGTTATTCAAGATTTAGAGCTTTTCAAAAATGTATAAATCAGATCATAACTGAAGGATTGGTGGTCAAAGTCAAAGAGACACAGAGATGGGAGTTTATGATCTTGTCGAACACATTCTGCCAGATTATAAAAAAACTTGACATTTGAGGAAAACTCTGGTTGGATTTAATAAATAATGTCCAGTGTGAGGCCCTTCCCCCGGGGCCCGTCACTGTCGTACTTCGTGTTTTAGGGTGTATTCAGACCTGAAAAGTCCTTTGCTCCGCTTGCTTGATCCGAATCAAAAGTGGACCAAACTTTTTTCTTTTGCTCCGGTTTGTATTCAGACTGTCCTTTTTGCAAGTGAACTTTTTTATATAAACATATCGACACGTGTGACGATCGGCTCCTATTGGACAGAGAGAGCTCAGGGAGGATAGATGCGGAACCGGAGGAAAACATTGAGGGCTCGTATGTGCAGCATGTCTGCTCTGCCTGTGTCTGCTCTTTTTAGACCAAAACCACCTTCACCTTCAACAGCAGCTCATATGACACAGGCCAAACACGTTGTTTTAAATATTGGAACAGCGTCGGAGAATGTGTGAGGAGAAAGCCGAAGGAGACTGTGCGCTCCGTGCCCTGTCCCACACATGGATCTATGATAATAACTCTGTCCCACACATGGATCTATGATAATAACCCTGTCCCACACATGGATCTATGATAATAACTCTGTCCCACACATGGATCTATGATAATAACTCTGTCCCACACATGGATCTATGATAATAACCCTGTCCCACACATGGATCTATGATAATAACTCTGTCCCACACATGGATCTATGATAATAACTCTGTCCCACACATGGATCTATGATAATAACTCTGTCCCACACATGGATCTATGATAATAACTCTGTCCCACACATGGATCTATGATAATAACTCTGTCCCACACATGGATCTATGATAATAACTCTGTCCCACACATGGATCTATGATAATAACTCTGTCCCACACATGGATCTATGATAATAACCCTGTCCCCACACATGGATCTATGATAATAACTCTGTCCCACACATGGATCTATAATAATAACTCTGTCCCACACATGGATCTATAATAATAACTCTGTCCCACACATGGATCTATGATAATAACTCTGTCCCACACATGGATCTATAATAATAACTCTGTCCCACACATGGATCTATGATAATAACTCTGTCCCACACATGGATCTATGATAATAACTGTCCCACACATGGATCTATAATAATAACTCTGTCCCACACATGGATCTATGATAATAACTGTCCCACACATGGATCTATGATAATAACCCTGTCCCACACATGGATCTATGATAATAACCCTGTCCCACACATGGATCTATGATAATAACTCTGTCCCACACATGGATCTATGATAATAACTCTGTCCCACACATGGATCTATGATAATAACCCTGTCCCACACATGGATCTATGATAATAACTCTGTCCCACACATGGATCTATGATAATAACCCTGTCCCACACATGGATCTATGATAATAACTGTCCCACACATGGATCTATGATAATAACCCTGTCCCACACATGGATCTATGATAATAACCCTGTCCCACACATGGATCTATGATAATAACCCTGTCCCACACATGGATCTATGATAATAACTCTGTTCCACACATGGATCTATGATAATAACCCTGTCCCACACATGGATCTATGATAATAACCCTGTCCCACACATGGATCTATGATAATAACCCTGTCCCACACATGGATCTATGATAATAACCCTGTCCCACACATGGATCTATGATAATAACTCTGTCCCACACATGGATCTATGATAATAAACTCTGTCCCACACATGGATCTATGATAATAACTCTGTCCCACACATGGATCTATGATAATAACCCTGTCCCACACATGGATCTATGATAATAACTCTGTCCCACACATGGATCTATGATAATAACTCTGTTCCACACATGGATCTATTATAATAACCCTGTCCCACACATGGATCTATGATAATAACTCTGTCCCACACATGGATCTATGATAATAACTCTGTCCCACACATGGATCTATGATAATAACCCTGTCCCACACATGGATCTATGATAATAACCCTGTCCCACACATGGATCTATGATAATAACTCTGTTCCACACATGGATCTATGATAATAACCCTGTCCCACACATGGATCTATGATAATAACTCTGTCCCACACATGGATCTATGATAATAACCCTGTCCCACACATGGATCTATGATAATAACCCTGTCCCACACATGGATCTATGATAATAACTCTGTCCCACACATGGATCTATGATAATAACTCTGTCCCACACATGGATCTATGATAATAACTCTGTCCCACACATGGATCTATGATAATAACTCTGTCCCACACATGGATCTATGATAATAACCCTGTCCCACACATGGATCTATGATAATAACTCTGTCCCACACATGGATCTATGATAATAACTCTGCCCCACACATGGATCTATTATAATAACCCTGTCCCACACATGGATCTATGATAATAACTCTGTCCCACACATGGATCTATGATAATAACTGTCCCACACATGGATCTATGATAATAACTCTGTCCCACACATGGATCTATGATAATAACCCTGTCCCACACATGGATCTATGATAATAACTCTGTCCCACACATGGATCTATAATAATAACTCTGTCCCACACATGGATCTATGATAATAACTGTGTCCCACACATGGATCTATGATAATAACTCTGTCCCACACATGGATCTATAATAACTCTGTCCCACACATGGATCTATGATAATAACTCTGTCCCACACATGGATCTATGATAATAACTCTGTCCCACACATGGATCTATGATAATAACTCTGTCCCACACATGGATCTATGATAATAACTCTGTCCCACACATGGATCTATGATAATAACTCTGTCCCACACATGGATCTATGATAATAACGGCCCTGTTCAGCATTGTGGATAAACCATGGATCTATAATAACCACGGGACAAACAGACGCTGAGGATAAGGTAGGAACCAAAGAACACAGTTCACTACATGATGTGGAATATTGTTCTTTGAGACGTGAGTCAAACAGTGTCAGGCTTTTAATAATGCAAATGGTTTGAAGATGCTGCATTAACATCAATGTAAACTGTGAACAGTGTAACTCCATAAGCCTGTTGCACAGCGTCTCCTCACTGCTCCAGGTCTGCACACAGCTCAGTGTTGTTAGCAGCATAGTTAGCAGCACAGTTAGCAGCATAGTTAGCAGCATAGTTAGCATCATAGTTAGCATCATAGTTAGCATCATAGTTAGCATCATAGTTAGCATCATAGTTAGCATCATAGTTAGCCACTGCGTGGCTAATTCCTCAGTTTCTGTCTGCGGCTTGTTAAGCCTAAAAAATGCGCACGTATCTTGGAGTTGTGTCGGATCGACACCGGATGTATTCAGACCTGATTCGACTTGGACCAGAATTTGTTTGGAAGCGGACCGAGACCACCTCAAAAAGTGGGTCTCGGTTTGGTTCTTTGGTCCGGACCAGGTCCGTTTAAAGTGGAGCAAATATGCAGGTCTGAATACACCCTAAATAAAGTTTACTTCAATCCTCTTTGTCCTGACGACTGTTTTAGTGTTGGCTTTGACGATTTTCTACTTCATCAAGACTATTGGTCCTCCCAGCTGTCAATCATTCTGGTGCTGCGTGCTCAGCCAATCAGGCCAGAGAGTTTTGTTTAAAAAGTGGAGAGGTTCTTTCCTAAAATATGGAAAATTCTCATATTTATCTTTAAGATCTTGTGCGTCTTTGTGTCTGAATAGTTCCTAGTTTTTTTAAGTTTACTCACTCACTTAAACATGAATAATTTATTATTAAAGCCACTTTTTAGCCAATTTTTAAAGTTAGGGTTAGGGCTCCAAATGAAAAAAACATTTTAACCAAAAACAAATGTTACTTTTTAAGAATATTAACCTCCACCATGTTTTAAATTGTTGTCATAGGCTCAGAATGTGAGGACTCTGTGTGAATGCTCCATCTTTAACTACAGAGGCTGATAAGGGACAAAAAGGAGTTTGAGCGGGAGTTGGAGACCACTGTCACAGACTCATAATGTCCTGCGAAGGCTTCCGTAGATTATAATACATGACAGCAGTATAAAATACACAGTGTAGTTTTAAAACAACGCAGGGTCCAGGAGGAAACACTGCGATATAAAACTTTATAATCTATATTTAACTAAGATTTAGTTTTATGTTAATTAGAGTGAATCTAAATGATTTGTTTTACTGCTCAGAGACTTCAGGAACAAATGAACGAGAAAGTTAAACTTTATAACACATTGTTCCTGTTTGTCAAAATGTCAAAGTCAAGGCCCGGGGGCTGGAAGCGGCCCTCGAATGAATGATCTTGGCCCCGGGAACAGTATTAGAACCGGCCGCACAGAGACATGAGGGAACACTGGAGGATTTATTTAAAGTTCAGATGTTTTCTCTTTGAAGGAACTTTGTTTTTGAGTCTGTTGGAAAAAGTACAGAGCCATAAAAATATGGGATTATTATTTTAATCATTAAATAAAACACTGTGTTCGGTCTTGGTTCAACAGGTTTTATACATGATTTTAATGTTTTAGTAAACATTGAACCCTCGGCTTGTTACAGATTAGTTTCTTTGGCCTCTGATGTTTGACTTTGACCTCCCTGGTTTAAATTAATAAACTAATTATAAAATTGACTTAATTTGACAAACTTTTGAGCACAGCTTTAAGTTTTGTCTCAGTGCAGATGTAAATGCAGGTGTTCTGGAAATACCACGTTTGACTTTCCAAGAAACAGGAAGTGCTAATGCTAATGCTAATGCTAATTCTCTCACCAGTTTAGCACTATCAGCTCCAAACGTTTGAATAATCCGGAACATCCCGACACAAAAGTTTTACTGTTATCTGTAAAACTATTTTCTAAACTCTCTTTGTTAAAGGTGACACTTTACTCACGAGGCTCCGGAAGAACTTGACCACAGCGTTTTCATTTGGTTTACGTCGAGTGGAAGACGTTTGAGGTGAAGTGTGGCCTCGGAACGAGCCCTGGACACAGGAGACAACAGAAGATTCACTTTAAGATAAGATTAACTTCAAAGTTGTTACAAAACAATGAACAGAAAGAACCAGGGTCTTTATGTGAATACACAGCGTTCATAGGAGGATGAAAAACCATGTAGTTGTAGCTTGCGGCCAGTAGGGGGCAGATGAACTTTACACCACGACACACTTGACCCCAGCAGTTTATCCACTTCCTCAGGAACATCCTGCTCAGGCCAAAGACGGGAAAGAACCAACAACATTCTTCAACAGCAGCAGTTCAACTGAAACTAGAGCTTCAAGTGGTTTTGTTTGGACGAACGAAGTCGTAGCATCCTCCTCCGTTAGCGCTCAAAGCACACGTAGCTAGTTAGCTACCTGCCGCCATTGTTGTTTACGTTTGTTCTCGACTACTTTATTTTCTACTTCACATGTTTTTGCGTAATGCAACACAAGCCCTTGCAGGTGAAAGCCTGATCCCTCAGACCTCTGAAGATAAGCAGAACAGGCCTGGTTAGTACTGTGATGGGAGACCTCTGGGTAAACCAGGGTTTGGCGGCTGTAAAGTGCCAAACTGTGGTTGTGTCCTTAGGCAAGACACTTCCCCCTCATTGAAATGAGTCTGGTGTGTGTGTGAATGGTTGGTGGGAGGGGCCGATGGCACAGACTGGTTGCTTCTGTCAGTGTGCCCCAGGGCAGCTGTGGCCACAGTAGTTTATCACCACCGTGTCTGGAGAGAAAGAATGTTCCGTGTCTAAAAAGCGTTGTTTAAACCCATTATTATAGACGTACAAACACATTCTGCTTCTCTGCACAAACCACTTCTTTCATTCATTGCTTTTACTTTGCCCTGATTTCAAGGTTATATTTTTAATTTCACACCAACACTGCCCTGAACCTGTGCCTCTCACCGGTTCCTAACAACTAATCCACAGCCGCGATAATTACTGCAATTATGTGTACGCCCTGAGCCCAGTGGAGCCGACAGCCTCGAGTGAGAAGCTGAGCCGAGAAAGAGGCAAATTAAAACGCTGATTCGCAATCATAAAAATTACAACAATTAGACGCTGATGTGGGAAGAGACGGACTGAGTTCAAGATGTCAGTGAGAACAGGGAGGCAGTCCTATATATATCTATATATATATACATATTCATTTAAACAAACATACAGCTGCGTACATTTTATCCAATACTTTAAGGTTCCTAAAGTCGTCTGATTTGGCATCGCCTGTGGTCGGTAAAGAAGACATTTACTTTTGTAGCACACGTCAAACAGGAATGAAACTCGCAACAGATCATAAAAAGAGATTGATTGATTGTTATTTATTTGAGCATTTTGCAATCATATTTTTTCATTATTACAAGATTACACTGTTGTAAAGTAGCTTAAAAGGAGTTAGGCTGAAGCAAGAAAGCTTATTAGTGTCTACCCCCTGTTCCAAGTGATCACTTTCAGCTGCAGACGATAACCCTGAATACAGGCATCAAGGGTGCATGAGGCCCAGGCACATGCACATCAGAGGGTGCATGAGGCCCAGGCACATGCACATCAGAGGGTGCATGAGGCCCAGGCACATGCACATCAGAGGGTGCATGAGGCCCAGGCACATGCACATCAGAGGGTGCATGAGGCCCAGGCACATGCACATCAGAGGGTGCATGAGGCCCAGGCACATGCACATCAGAGGGTGCATGAGGCCCAGGCACACAGGGCTCTGTGGGTGAGCCCATCATGATCACAATCAATTCCATGATTCCAGATTAGAGCGAGATCAAAGTGTGAGAAAGTCCAAATAAGTGGGTCTAGTTTACTCATCAGTAAACATTCATTTAATACATAGAAAGATAAATAGATAGATACGGTACATACATAGAGATAGATAGATTTTTATATACGTGGCAGAAATACATTTACATTTTGACTAATGTTGTAAATATGTCATATTTGGGTAAAAAAGAGACAAAGACACGTAGAGTTTGTTTTAGAACTGACGGAAACCTCTCGGATCTTCTACAGATAAACCATTGCTGTGGATTGGACCAAATCACTTAAAACTATATTTTTCCAATGATCACATTATTTAACTCACAGCTGAGAATGATCCAGTTTCTACTGTGTCTTTTCACTCGTCTCCAAGTCTTCAAAGACATTTGAGACGCAGTTCACCCACAGAAAGAAATCATCTTTTACTTTCACTTTCCCCTTCGCCTCAGTCTCTGAGATCAGAACAAACCGCTGTGAGAGTTTGGCCTTTTTACCACTTATATTCTGATAATGTGTCGAGAACTTTCCCCTCGGCTCTTCACATCCAGCTCAGACTGAGACTCAGACTCAGACTCAGACTGAGACTCAGACTGAGACTCAGACTGAGACTCAGACTGAGACTCAGACTCAGACTCAGACTGAGACTGAGACTGAGACTCAGACTCAGACTCAGACTCAGACTCAGACTCAGACTGAGACTCAGACTGAGACTCAGACTGAGACTCAGACTGAGACTCAGACTGAGACTCAGACTGAGACTCAGACTGAGACTCAGACTGAGACTCAGACTGAGACTCAGACTGAGACTCAGACTGAGACTCAGACTGAGACTCAGACTCAGACTGAGACTCAGACTCAGACTCAGACTCAGACTGAGACTCAGACTCAGACTCAGACTCAGACTCAGACTCAGACTGAGACTCAGACTCAGACGACTGAGGACTTCATAAACAAACATTTTTAACACACGTCGTTCAATTCGTCTTGTTTGAGTTTTTTTTTTTTACGATGTTACAACTTTGTCCCTGGAGTTTTTGACCCCCCACAGTGAGTAAAAATACCCTCAACATTTTGTTCCCGATCTTGATGACTTTTCCTAACTTGACCAGCCCTGGGCCACTTTAGATTCGTTTAGATCCTAATTTGGGGTTTTTCCTCTACTTTTTAGTCCCTGTTGAGCGTCATTTTCACCCAAAACAAACACTCCTTCTGCGTCAAGACCAGCCATGTCCAAACTCAGGCCCGGGGGCCAATTGCGGCCCTCAGTGTCATTGTATGTGGCCCTCTGCCTCGCTAACCCAAAGTAGTCTTTGAGATTATAAACACAAGTTCACTGTGTCATCCATCCAACTTCAGCTCAGCCAATATAGACCTTGTTCTAAAGCCCAGTACATCTGGAGTTCAGTAGTTTAATTGTGAGCTGGTAAACTGTAATCATTCAGAGCTGGACACTATAGTCCATCAGACCAGTCCATCAGACCAGTCCATCAGACCAGTCCATCAGACCAGTCCATCAGACCAGCACTCTAACTGCTCCCATCTCAAACCTGCTGCAGTTCGTTACCATAGGAGGATCTTTGTTTACATCCTCGTGCGGCCGAGACGACAGAGCGGCACAAACTGAAGCATGGACTCTTAAAAAGACTCTGTATATAAGCACTTTAACAGAAGAAGACCAGAGGAGATATAAAGACAAGCTAAACATAAGTATATGAGACTGAACTGAACCAGTCCAAAGCCCAGATGAGACCTGGAGGACCACAGTCCTGGAGGACCACAGACCTGGAGGACCACAGACCTGGAGGACCACAGACCTGGAGGACCACAGACCTGGAGGACCACAGACCTGGAGGACCACAGACCTGGAGGACCACAGACCTGGAGGACCACAGTCCTGGAGGACCACATACCTGGAGGACCACAGACCTGGAGGACCACAGACCTGGAGGACCACAGACCTGGAGGACCACAGACCTGGAGGACCACAGACCTGGAGGACCACAGTCCTGGAGGACCACATACCTGGAGGACCACAGACCTGGAGGACCACAGACCTGGAGGACCACAGTCCTGGAGGACCACAGACCTGGAGGACCACAGACCTGGAGGACCACAGTCCTGGAGGACCACAGACTCTGTCTTGGCACCGATCTGCGGTGAGACATTTATTCTTACTTTATAGAATGCACTCAACAGGAACGGACCATTTGATTTAGTAAAACCTCCAAACGTCTGAAACTAGCTAACTCTGTAGCATCCAGGGGCTTTGTGCTGTTTTACCACAGAGTCACGTGACCAGAAAAACTATAAACAACCACGTCACTCCCAGATCCTCCTCTAATACTTCATTTTAACAACTGTTATTAAGACTGAATGGGAACCTTTGAAAATACAGTATCTTCAAATCATTCTTATGTTTTCCTCTGTTTAAAGCACGGATAATAAAGAACTACTCACAGAAACTACTCAAAACAAAAGAATCCAACTCTTCCTCCACAGAACCATGATCCTTCATCCCAGGTCCCTCCAGTTCAAGGGCAATGGTTTAAACTAAATGTCTTCGAACGCCGCAGAGAATGACAAAACACAAACCAAACATCACAAAAACAGAAGCAAATTTCCAAGAATCCATTTTACTAAAACAAGACGTTTTAAACTTGAAAATATGATTCAATCTCTTACAAAGTGCTAAAGGATCATGAACCTTCCACAACTCCCCACTTTATTATCACTTTATTATCACTTTGTTATCACTTTGTTATCACTTTATTATCACTTTGTTATCACTTTGTTATCACTTTGTTATCACTTTGTTATCACTTTGTTATCACTTTATTATCATATTATTATTACTTTATTATCACTTTATTATCACTTTGTTATCACTTTGTTATCACTTTGTTATCACTTTATTATCACTTTATTTTCACTTCATTATCACTTTATTATCACTTTGTTATCACTTTGTTATCACTTTGTTATCACTTTATTATCACTTTATTATCATATTATTATTACTTTATTATCACTTTGTTATCACTTTATTATCACTTTACTATCACTTTATTATCACTTTATTATTACTTTATAATCACTTTATCACTTTATTATCACTTTATTATCATATTATTATTACTTTATTATCACTTTATTATCACTTTGTTATCACTTTGTTATCACTTTATTATCACTTTGTTATCACTTTATTATCACTTTATTATCACTTTATTATCATATTATTATTACTTTTATCACTTTGTTATCACTTTATTATCACTTTGTTATGTGGGCCCTGTTGGATCTCTCTCTGTTGTGGAGAACCAGACAGCAGTTTTCACGCGCTTATACTTTAGTGTCAAAATGTCAAAAATACATAATTTTTATTTATTTAACAAAAATGAAGATATCCTGTTTTTTCTCCGCGTTTGTGGAACATGTTTAGAGAAAGTTTTTACCAATACCATTTTGGGTTCATTGTTTGAGTATTTCTGACATTGGGTCTCTGCAGATTTGTAACTTAGTCCAATGAAGGGACCGGCCTGACTCAAAACAATCATCTTTAAATATTCCAGGATTAATCACAGTTCAACGGCTCTGATCAAAAGACCATCTTTACAAACTAGGATCCAGGACATTCCTACATTTCCTACATTTCTCATTCATATTTCTAATTATTTCTGTTATTAATTGTTTTTGTCCTTAATCTCCTATAAACTTTCATCATATTTCTGAAAAAACTCGATTACTATTTTTGCATATTTTTGAATCCACTGCTGGTAACAAACAATTATCATGTAACCTGAGTTTTAAAAGCACATATCTCTAAAATAAACATTAGTTCTCACCACAAGCTTGTCCCCCAAAGTCCTCTTATCCCCCGCCCCCGTCCATGAGAAGTCGTAGTGCCGCGAGTACACTTCAAGCTCCATTTAATGAAAGATTATTCCCCGAATCCACACTGACCTTGCTCCGCTTCTTCTTGTCCCCCGCGAATATTTTACTGATCTGGTCCATGAGGCCGGGACTCTTCTTCTTCCTGCCCAGTCCGAAGGCGCTGTGCGAGGGCCCGCTGCCGGAGGCCATAGTCCTGAGCCGTGTGTGGGAGTCTGGGAGGGGTCGACCTTTACTTTGCCTTATACCAGCAGCGAGATGACTGCCCTGGTGCCACCGCGGGCTTTGAACCAACACCCTCCCCTTCAGCGAGGGGGAGGAGAGAGGCCGCACTGTGGGAGCATTGAGGCGCTTTGTTCTTCTGATGTCAGTGAGTGATGGAAGGGTGCAAAGTGGATTTACCATGACGGACAGAGAGGTCCTGGGTCCAGAAAGAGGTCCTGGGTCCAGAGAGAGGTCCTGGGTCCAGAAAGAGGTCCTGGATCTCTGCTCAAATCTGATGAGAGACAATCCTCTTTAGATTCAAGTCTTGGTCAAGTCCATGCAACACCTTGCAAGGCCTTCAAGACCAAGACCAGGACAGACCCTCCCAGACCCAGACCAGGATCTTGAAGACCAAGACAAGAACAGACTCTTCAAGACTCAGACCAGGACCTTCAAGACCAAAACCAAGACCAAGACTTTGAAGATCAAGTTCAAGACCAAGACCAACTCAGACCAGGACTAGAACCAAACCAGTGTGGGCGGGTCCCGGCTCAAAAGAGGCCAAAATGACGTGCGCTGACATGCTGCAGTACCACCCCGGGCCTGTGGGGGTGGACCCTGACATGCTGCAGTACCACCCCGGGCCTGTGGGGGTGGACCCTGACATGCTGCAATACCACCCCGGGCCTGTGGGGGTGGACCCTGACATGCTGCAGTACCACCCCGGGCCTGTGGGGGTGGACCCTGACATGCTGCAGTACCACCCCGGGCCTGTGGGGGTGGACCCAGAATAAGAATTAGCCAATGCTAACATATAGCATCTTCTTACCTCTGGAAAACGTCTTTACAGGATGGTCCAAAGTTGTTTCTTGGCCCAAAGCTCCGTTCCACATGTGTGTCAATGCTGAGTGTTCTGGACCAGTCTAGTTTAGTCGCTGTGGACTTTAGAAGTCTCTCATTTAAATAAATGGAGCTGCGCCGGCTGACGCATGCACAGATGCGTTTTTTTCACAATTTTTGTGTGGGCGGGACCACTCGCGGCCATTTTGGATAGCTCCAGTAGAGCACATTTTTTGGCCCATTAGTTTGAACGGGGAGATAGCCGTGACTCTGTCCGTTAATATATACAGTCTATGGGACCAACCCTTCAAGTCCAAAACCAGGACCTCAAAGACCAAGACCAAGATTTAGTTTATTGGCCAAAAGCAGTGAAACTACATCAGAACACATGTTTTTTCAGACGCACGTTTTCTCTGGGTCTGTCTATTTTCATGTATTCACAGAATCTATTTTACTGTATTTAAAGAATCTATTTTCATGTATTTACAGAATCTATTTCCATGTAATCATGAGTCAAAGGTCCTGGTCTGCACTGGGAGTGGGGTCAGAGGAGGAGAGCGGGCTCAGATCCAGAACCTTCCGTGGTTGTGTCAGTCTCCTTTGTCCCAGGACACTGGGGTTTTCTGTGCGCGGCCTTTTGAGAAGCTTCAGTGTTTCTGCATGAATGAAAGTCATGACGCAAAACAGACACATGTGGTTTCAGAGGCTGCGGCCTAATCCTAACCCTCTAATCCTCTAACCCTCTAATCCTAACCCTCTAATCCTCTAACCCTCTAACCCTAACCCTCTAATCCTCTAACCCTCTAATCCTCTACTCCTCTAATCCTCTATCCTCTAATCCTCTACTCCTCTAATCCTCTACTCCTCTAATCCTCTACTCCTCTAACCCTCTAACCCTCTAATCCTCTAATCCTCTAACCCTCTAACCCTCTAATCCTCTAACCCTCTACTCCTCTAATCCTCTAATCCTCTAATCCTCTACTCCTCTAATCCTCTACTCCTCTACTCCTCTAATCCTCTACTCCTCTAATCCTCTAACCCTCTAACCCTCTAACCCTCTAACCCTCTAACCCTCTAACCCTCTAACCCTCTAACCCTCTAACCCTCTAACCCTCTAACCCTCTAACCCTCTAATCCTCTAACCCTCTAACTCTAACCCAAAACAGACACATGTGGTTTCAGAGGCTGTGGTCTAACCCTAACCCTCTAACCCTCTAATCCTCTAATCCTCTAACCCTCTAACTCTAACCCAAAACAGACACATGTGGTTTCAGAGGCTGTGGTCTAACCCTAACCCTCTAACCCTCTAATCCTCTAATCCTCTAACCCTCTAACTCTAACCCAAAACAGACACATGTGGTTTCAGAGGCTGTGGTCTAACCCTAACCCTCTAACCCTCTAATCCTCTAATCCTCTAACCCTCTAACTCTAATCCTCTAACTCTAACCCTCTAATCCTAACCCAAAACAGACACATGTGGTTTCAGAGGCTGTGGCCGTTCCATTTGTGGGTTTTCAGATTATAGAACGTGATCAATACGATTTCCAACCCTCTAACCCTCTAACTCTAACACTCTAACTCTAACCCTCTAACTCTAACACTCTAACTCTAACCCTCTAACTCTAACCCTCTAACTCTAACACTCTAACTCTAACCCTCTAACTCTAACACTCTAACTCTAACCCTCTAACTCTAACCCTCTAACTCTAACACTCTAACTCTAACCCTCTAACTCTAACCCTCTAACTCTAACCCTCTAACTCTAACACTCTAACTCTAACACTCTAACTCTAACACTCTAACTCTAACACTCTAACTCTAACCCTCTAACTCTAACCCTCTAACTCTAACCCTCTAACTCTAACCCTCTAACTCTAACCCTCTAACTCTAAGGAAGGGTTAAATTTTATAAAAAATGCTAATGAAGCATTTAGCATTTTACTTTGGACCAGAGCAGAGAAAATGGTCTGAACCAAGCTCCACCTGCTGCTGTGACCTGCTCCACCCAGAGACTTCTCCACCTCTGCTGCTGTGACCTGCTCCACCCAGAGACTACTCCACCTGCTGCTGTGACCTGCTCCACCCAGAGACTTCTCCACCTCTGCTGCTGTGACCTGCTCCACCCAGAGACTTCTCCACCTGCTGCTGTGACCTGCTCCACCCAGAGACTTCTCCACCTCTGCTGCTGTGACCTGCTCCACCCAGAGACTACTCCACCTGCTGCTGCTGTGACCTGCTCCACCCAGAGACTTCTCCACCTCTGCTGCTGTGACCTGCTCCACCCAGAGACTACTCCACCTGCTGCTGCTGTGACCTGCTCCACCCAGAGACTTCTCCACCTCTGCTGCTGTGACCTGCTCCACCCAGAGACTACTCCACCTGCTGCTGCTGTGACCTGCTCCACCCAGAGACTTCTCCACCTGCTGCTGTGACCTACTCCACCCAGAGACTTCTCCACCTCTGCTGCTGTGACCTGCTCCACCCAGAGACTTCTCCACCTCTGCTGCTGTGACCTGCTCCACCCAGAGACTTCTCCACCTCTGCTGCTGTGACCTGCTCCACCCAGAGACTTCTCCACCTCTGCTGCTGTGACCTGCTCCACCCAGAGACTTCTCCACCTGCTGCTGCTGTGACCTGCTCCACCCAGAGACTTCTCCACCTGCTGCTGTGACCTGCTCCACCCAGAGACTTCTCCACCTGCTGCTGTGACCTGCTCCACCCAGAGACTACTCCACCTGCTGCTGCTGTGACCTGAAGGACTGTTGTTATTATTATTGTTAGATCATTTATATAGATAATGATCTATTCATTGGTTTTGTTTGTTTGGATGGGTGTGTTTCTGCTGCTGCTGGACACCTGCATTTCTCCAACAGGGATCAATAATCTTATCTATCTACATGAAGATGGAAAAACCAAGTGTGGTCTGGCCTCTGACCCAGACAGATGTGAAACCTGTGATCGCAGCATTTTCATCATGAACTCAACACGAAGACCTGCAGAAGAGCGAAGAACAACGTTTGAGAATCCTGTGTTTGCTGCGAGCACAAAGCTGCAGTTGTTGGTCGTGAGTCGACGCCTTCAGGATCTGAATATTCATATTTTCAGACAGACGGCGACTGTTCAGATCAGATATAAACATTTAGACTTTTCTGAGACTGAAACGATAGTCACGTGTTCAGTATGAAGCTCTGAAGTTCTGATCTAAAGCATTCTTTCACTGATTATAGATTAAACACATGTTACAGTCATGATGCAGACTTTAAAAAGACTGTGGAAGAAACTTTGCTGTCATCATTTACACAGAAACGACACGAAACAGAGAAGAACGATGGAAGTATCACCTTTAAAGATCCATAAGTGTCAGAGCAGGAGGTTATAGGATCGCTCTGGAGGACGGTGGATGTGAAAGGATTAAACATACAGCTGTAATCTCTAACTGTGTAATGCACAGCTCCTCGTTGTTTAATCCGTTTATTCCATGGTCCTGTGAATTTAAGTGTGTAACAAGTGTTTGTACTGACTTCACTGAACTGGCCAAATATGCATAAATTTAGGGATTATTTAACAAGTCTGTTAAGAGAAATGGGAACTACTTTTATTAACACGCGGACAAAACATGACCGACGTTAACTCCTTCTTCTCCTTCTTGGTTCTCCTCCTCTTCCCATTCCTCAAGGGTTTTGTTTTGTCCAAAAATGTTAAAATTCACCTCGAAATCCATGTGATCCGGTGTTCTGTGGAAGTGGCCCGTAAAAGGTTTAAATACGAACGAATTAAGACACAAATGCCACTTTTGTGCAACTCGACAGCTACAGCTAACAGCTAAAAGCTAACAGCTAACAGCTAACAGGCCAGTCGACAAACTGGTCTGTTGGGTTCATAATGGAAATAATAACCAAACTCTCAGTTGGAAGCTATTAGCTGTCGAGTTAGCCACAGGACGAGTCATCGGCCTGCGCAGGAAAAGTACTGCTATCACACTGCAGCACTATGGTGTCTTCATGGTGTCATCATGTTGTCCTTATGGTGTCCTCATGGTGTCATCATGGTGTCCTCATGGTGTCCTCATGGTGTCTTCATGGTGTCCTCATGGTGTCCTCATGGTGTCTTCATGGTGTCCACATGGTGTCTTCATGGTGTCCACATGGTGTCTTCATGGTGTCCACATGGTGTCTTCATGGTGTCCACAAGGTGTCCTCATGGTGTCTTCATGGTGTTCTCATGGTGTCCTCATGGTGTTGTGTATGGTCTAAATCAGGGCCTCTGCTGTCCATATGTTTCATTTATTTAAATTCAATGCATTATAGTTAGGGAGATGTAATGATGCAAACGCATGGTCTGAGAGGCTGCTGCGGGTCTGTTCCACAGGTGAAGCAGATGCAGCAGATGCAGCAGACGCAGCAGGTGAAGCAGATGCATCAGATGCAGATGTGTGATGCAGCTGATGCAGCAGGTGAAACAGATGCAGCAGATGCAGCTGATGCAGATGTGTGATGCAGCTGGTGAAGCAGATGCAGCAGATGCAGATGTGTGATGCAGCAGATGCAGCAGACACAGCAGGTGCAGCAGATGCAGATGTGTGATGCAGCAGATGCAGCAGACACAGCAGGTGCAGCAGATGCAGATGTGTGATGCAGCAGATGCAGCAGGTGAAGCAGATGCAGCAGATGCAGCAGATGCAGCAGATGCAGCAGGTGCAGCAGGCGCAGCAGGTGCAGCAGGCGCAGCAGATGCAGATGTGTGATGCAGCAGAGGCAGCAGACGCAGCAGTGTGATTAAGGCTCTAATGGAAGCGAGCGCAGTCACATTTGTTGACTGATTAGAGACTAAAGTGATAAGGGCAGTAAAGTGATAAAGGGCGGGGACAGGTTTTGACGTGTTAAGAAACAAAACAGCTTCTTATTCAGCTTGTGTCTGTTACATCTGTCCTGACTGTGCGCTGCAACACTGACATTTCCCACTGAGGGACCAATGAAGGATCTCTATCTTTAGTTAGGGTGGCAGGACTTCAGTGACAGAGCTCTCACAGCAGAGCTACCACAGCAGAGCTCCCACAGGAGAGCTACCACAGGAGAGCTACCACAGGAGAGCACCCACAGCAGAGCACCCACAGGAGAGCACCCATAGCAGAGCACCCACAGCAGAGCTACCCCAGGAGAGCTACCACAGGAGAGCATCCACAGCAGAGCTACCACAGGAAAGCTTCCACAGCCGAGCTACCTTAGAAGAGCTACCACAGGAGAGCTTCCACAGCAGAGCTACCTTAGGAGAGCTACCACAGGAGAGCTTCCACAGCCGAGCTACCACAGGAGAGCTAGAGTCTGAGCAGAGATCTTCACCTCCTCATGACCCACACTGCTCTGATTGTGAGGAGCGTGTGGAGGAGCAAGAATCCGAGCCGTGGGTCCAGAAGAAACCTGTCCTTGTCCCGGTGGGGGCGGGGTCAGCTCGCGGCCCCCCCAGCGCCCCCCCCCGGGACAATAGCAGCGATAGAAGCAGAAGTGGGACTGAGACTCGGGACGCTGAAGAATCCTGCCCCGGCGCCCACCGCAGGACACAGGCCGCCTCTGTCCCGAACCCAAACACTGTGAATGAAAGCAACTTTTGCACTTTTTATGGACGTCTTATGGACAAAGAGGCAAATGTTTTTATATCGCAAGTAAATCTCACTGGAATAAGCAATAATGGACGATTGTGTGGACGATACTGCGGAACAAACCCATAATTCTGTTCCATTTTTATCACCACTTTCTCTACAAACTACAGCACCACTTTATAAAACCTTGAGTATAATCTTAAAGCTGGAGGGTTTTTTAATCTGTGCAAAATCCATTCAACTACAGTTTGTCGCTCTCTTCACAACGTGTCTCCTGAGCTTCTATAATTATTATTTTTTATATGTCACATCATTTCATCTGGAGTCGGAGTAAAATGATTTCAGACCCACTTTATTCAAATCTCACTCAGATAATAAGACTAGAATGGAATTATAGTTTTTTGCAGTGAAAAAGCACTTCTCTTCATGAGGGTTGTGTTTGCTGATTGGTTGGAAAGGCTGGTCCTTTGTCTTTAATCTTTGACAGTTAAGAATCAAAACCAATTTTCTCTAAGTGGAACTATTACATTATTCTTTAACGATGAACTTTTACTACAATCAAACTTCAGCCATTTTCAAGTGTCCCCAATAAAACCTTTTGTCCATAAGCGTTTGAATGTGTTATAATTGTGAATCTCTTGTGAAACTTTGGCCTTTTTAATCCCAGCGCCGCTGCCAAGAGTCTGCAGAGGTTTCTGTGGATGCAAAACAAAACATTTGGCACAGTCTGGTCTCAGCGGTTCCAAAAATCTCTTTCTCTCAAACAGAAAAATTAGATGTTTGTTCCGCTGGCCCCAAAGATCGCTGAGAATCACTGATATATTGGATTTTTACTGAGGTTGGTTTGTTTATTTAGAAAATAATAGAAAATGGTGCATAAAGCAAACCTGAAAATAATAATAATAATAATAATAATAATAATAATAATAATAATAATAATAATAATAAAAAAGTGTTGTTCAGACCGGATCATGTGGCGAGTTTCAAACAAAGTTAATGGTTACGCCGCAGCCGACGAGATGCAGCGAAAACAGGAGACGAACATCCTGCTCCAGACACGTGCTGCAACCAATCAGAGAGCAGCAAAGTGGTTACAAAGAGTAACCCTAAAGTCCACACTGTGACAGTAAAGTATTAATGTGACATAAAACATATAAAGGTGTTAATAATAAAGTTAAAATAATGTTACTGTCGTTCTTCTCAGTTTCTGTTTGTTTTCTGTTTGAGTAAATTACATTCTCCCGATGAAGCCGTCTCTGCCGCGGGCCTCGCCGACTCTGTTGACTGAATTTGTGACAGATGGACAATTTGGCTGTTTTTTACGCAGCTATTTTTGCTGAAGGGAAAAAAAACCTGCTGATTGCTAACTTGATCTGTGGTCTGCGTGTCCTGCGGGACTTTTTACTGCAGCAGAAAAAAGTTTGTGATGTCTCCCTTAATATAAGACACTAATGGGGAAAGAGCATAGACTGTGGTCATGGAACTGCTAGCTCAATGAAGCCCAGAAGGGAAGTGCTCTGGGATGAAGTTTTGCTCCAACTCGCTCTGACTCCTCTGGACTTCCATGTTAGGAGTAAACTCACTGCTCAGTAATTGTTTGTGTCAGACTCTGGTTTATCGCTCTCTGAGATCCTGGTGTTATTGTGATATTGTCTTTGTAAATCCAGATAAAAGCCAGACAAGGATTCAGATTCTGTTTATTTGCAGTAAAACCACAGTGGGATACTCGTGCAAAAGTCCCAGTGGCACCAGACAAGAACGAAACAAAACAAGCTAAAAAAGTACAAGAAACAATCGTCGCTGTGAAACCAATCAACAAATCAGTTTTAATAAGAAACAAGTAAAGGATAGTAAAAGTGCTTTGTTCAAACCAGTCTGGGCGGGTCCCGGCTCCAAAGGTGCATGAGCACGTGCACTGACAAGCTGCAATCTCACTCCCCTCGGTGGGGGTGGGGGTGTACCCGGAAAGAGAATTACTCAATGCTTTTGTATGGTGTCTACTTTCCTCTAAACCCTCTTTAAAGGATTGTCCCAAAGTGGCTCTTGGTCCAAAAGTGGATCTTGGTCCAAAAGTGGATCTTGGTCCAAAAGTGGCTCTTGGTCCAAAAGTGGCACTTGGTCCAAAAGTGGCTCTTGGTCCAAAAGTGGCACTTGGTCCAAAAGAGGCACTTGGTCCAAAAGAGGCACTTGGTCCAAAAGTGTTTTTCACATTTTCCTGAGGGAGGGGCTGTCCATGGCCATTTTGAATCTGCCCAGGTCTGTGGCACATACATTACACTACGTCCGTTAATGTTTATAGTCTATGGTTCAAACTGACTGAGAAATCAGTTTCCTTCATTCATGGAGGGAAACTCCAGCATTACTTAGCAACCACCGTTGCCAACACCGTCACAACAATACATTACAATTTATTCTTATATCGCCCTAAATCACAACAGTGTCATCTCAGAGACTTAACAGAACCATAGAAATCAACAACACAGATCAGAGAATCAACAATTATAACACAGAAAATACACACATGTGATAAATGTCACACATGTTGATAAATGTTACACATGTGATAAATGTCATACATGTGATGAATGTCATACATGTTGATAAATGTCACACATGTGATAAATGTCATACATGTTGATAAATGTCACACATGTTGATAAATGTCACACATGTGATAAATGTCACACATGTGATAAATGTCACAGATGTGATAAATGTCATACATGTGATAAATGTCATACATGTGATGAATGTCATACATGTTGATAAATGTCACACATGTGATAAATGTCACAGATGTGATAAATGTCATACATGTGATAAATGTCATACATGTGATGAATGTCATACATGTTGATAAATGTCACACATGTTGATAAATGTCACACATGTGATAAATGTCACACATGTGATAAATGTCACACATGTCAATAAATGTCATACATGTGATAAATGTCACAGATGTGATAAATGTCATACATGTGATAAATGTCATACATGTGATGAATGTCATACATGTTGATAAATGTCACACATGTTGATAAATGCCATACATGTGATAAATGTCACACATGTTGATAAATGTCATACATGTGATAAATGTCATACATGTGATAAATGTCACACATGTTGATAAATGTCATACATGTGATAAATGTCACACATAGTAAGTAAGTAAGTAAGTAAGCTTTATTTATATACCGCCTTTCACAGACCAGAGTCACAAAGCGGTTTACAATTGTTATTTTTTTTGGGCACTTGTCCTCTCACTCCACACAGAGATGGGAGCGGGGTCGCCAGTACAGGAGGCGCATGTGATAAATGTCACACATGTTGATAAATGTCATACATGTGATAAATGTCACACATGTTGATAAATGTCACACATGTGATAAATGTCATACATGTTGATAAATGTCATACATGTTGATAAATGTCACACATGTGATAAATGTCATACATGTGATAAATGTCACACATGTTGATAAATGTCACACATGTGATAAATGTCACACATGTTGATAAATGTCATACATGTGATAAATGTCACACATGTGATAAATGTCACACATGTTGATAAATGTCATACATGTGATAAATGTCACACATGTTGATAAATGTCACACATGTGATAAATGTCACACATGTTGATAAATGTCATACATGTGATAAATGTCACACATGTGATAAATGTCACACATGTTGATAAATGTCATACATGTGATAAATATCATACATGTGATACATTTCATACATGTGATAAATGTCACATATGTGATAAATGTCATACATGTTGATAAATGTCATACATGTTGATAAATGTCATACATGTTGATAAATGTCACACATGTTGACAAATGTCACACATGTGATAAATGTCATACATGTTGATAAATGTCATACATGTGATAAATGTCACACATGTGACAAATGTCATACATGTGATAAATGTCACACATGTTGATAAATGTCATACATGTGATAAATGTCACACATGTTGATAAATGTCATACATGTTGATAAATGTCATACATGTTGATAAATGTCATACATGTTTATAAATGTCACACATGTAAGTTTGTAAGTTTTTTTATTTATATACCGCCTTTTTCACTGCAGAGCTGAGTCTCAAAGCGGTTTACAATTGTTAATTTTGGGCACTTGTCTCTCACTCCACACAGAGATGGGAGTGGGGCCAGTACAGGAGGCGCATGCCAGAACTATTGGACATATTTTTAGTGGTAGGGGAAACCGGAGTACCCGGAGGAAACCTACGCAGACACGGGGAGAACATGCAAACTCCACTCAGAAAGGCCCTGGTCCGACCGGGATTCGAACCCAGGACCTTCTTGCTGAGAGGCGAGAGTGCTATCCACTCAGCCACCGTGCCGCCGTGCACATGTGATAAATGTCATACATGTTGATAAATGTCACACATGTGATAAATGTCATACATGTAATAAATTTCATACAAATTAATAAATGTCACACATGTGATAAATGTCACACATGTTGATACATGTCACACATGTAATAAATTTCATACAAATTAATAAATGTCACACATGTGATAAATGTCACACATGTTGATACATGTCACACATGTGATAAATGTCATACATGTTGATAAATGTCACACATGTTGATAAATGTCATACATGTGATAAATGTCACACATGTTGATAAATGTCACACATGTGATAAATGTCATACATGTTGATAAATGTCATACATGTTGATAAATGTCACACATGTGATAAATGTCATACATGTGATAAATGTCACACATGTTGATAAATGTCACACATGTGATAAATGTCACACATGTTGATAAATGTCATACATGTGATAAATGTCACACATGTGATAAATGTCACACATGTTGATAAATGTCATACATGTGATAAATGTCACACATGTTGATAAATGTCACACATGTGATAAATGTCACACATGTTGATAAATGTCATACATGTGATAAATGTCACACATGTGATAAATGTCACACATGTTGATAAATGTCATACATGTGATAAATATCATACATGTGATACATTTCATACATGTGATAAATGTCACATATGTGATAAATGTCATACATGTTGATAAATGTCATACATGTTGATAAATGTCACACATGTTGACAAATGTCACACATGTGATAAATGTCATACATGTTGATAAATGTCATACATGTGATAAATGTCACACATGTGACAAATGTCATACATGTGATAAATGTCACACATGTTGATAAATGTCATACATGTGATAAATGTCACACATGTTGATAAATGTCATACATGTTGATAAATGTCATACATGTTGATAAATGTCATACATGTTTATAAATGTCACACATGTTGATAAATGTCACACATGTTGATAAATGTCACACGTGTTGATAAATGTCATACATGTTGATAAATGTCGTCACACATGTTGATAAATGTCACACATGATGATAAATGTCACACATGTTGATAAATGTCATACATGTGATAAATGTCCCACATGTTGATAAATGTCACACATGTTGATAAATGTCGTCACACATGTTGATAAATGTCATACATGTTGATAAATGTCACACGTGTTGATAAATGTCATACATGTTGATAAATGTTACACGTGTTGATAAATGTTACACGTGTTGATAAATGTCATACATGTTGATAAATGTCACACGTGTTGATAAATTTCACACATGTTGATAAATGTCACACGTGTTGATAAATGTCATACATGTTGATAAATGTCACACATGTTGATAAATGTCATACGTGTTGATAAATGTCACACATGTTGATAAATGTCACACGTGTTGATAAATGTCATACATGTTGACACATGTCACACATGTCGATAAATGTCACATCCATCCATCCATCCATCCATTTTCTACCCTTTAATCCATTTCTGGGTCAGGGGGGTGGCAGTCAGAGATGCCACCCAAGTCTCATAGCACCAGCCCCTCACTGATCCTCTGCAGGTGGTGAGTCCACAGGAGGACGGCTGCTCTCTGAGTGTGAGCATAGCCTTGATCTTTCAGGGGGGGCTTTGGGAAAAGTGGGGTTAAGTGTCTTGCCCAAGGACACAGCAACAGCAGTCATCAGTGGGAGTCGGTGGAGAAGGTGCAGAGGTGAGAATTGAACCCACGACCTTCTGGCCTTAAGGCCAATGCTCTACCAACTGAGCTACTGTCGGCCCCTGTCACATGTTGATAAATGTCATACATGTTGATAAATGTCACACATGTTGATAAATGTCATACATGATGATAAATGT